TCAAAAATGATTTGTCATTGTAAAGGGAATTTTTTTTTATATGGCTTAAAATATAGCAATGGAGTCATGCCGTACAAATCCGTCCTTGGGATTGAATTGTTTAGAATGGATTTTAGAGGACCAAGAAAAGAAGAAAAAGAAAAGGAACAACCTGAATAAAACAAAGTGAGAGAATCCTTTGGTGAAGCAGCTGCTTCTTCCCATTGGCTGAACAGTGGTTGCTAAAAAGTCCCCATACTATACTCTAAATACTCTTCAAGCCTTCTATGGTTTCTTCATTGTTTTTTTATTTTATTTTCAAGTGATTAGAGAAGGGGATTTTACACAAATATTCATTGAGTATTTGAAGATTTAACCAACTGAGCTATACCGCACTGACATCGCTATTTAATTGTTTAAAGCTCTGGCTGACCATATTTTTCTTCTGCAACTTAGGTTGCAGTAAGCCGAAAGTTTTTGTTTTATTTTACACATCATTTTGACTTTACTTGGTAGTGATCAAAGTAGAATAACTAGCTAGGCCTGGGCACGGTTCGGGTCGGTTCAAAATTTGGGCGACCCGTGGGCCGAACCGATGAAGGCTTCGGTTCTCGGATCGGATCGGGTCTAAATAAAAACCCGAAAATGGGCCGAACCGGAAATGAATTCGGTTCTCGGGTCGGTTCAGCCTTGTGATCGGTTTGGGCTTGAGCCCAATTTTACATTTTCAAAAGCCCAAATTAAATTAAATTTCAGCCAAAAAAAGCCCAAATCGAATTCTCTTTCAGCCAAAACCCTTTTTTTGTTGTCAAATTGACAAAACCTAATAAATTCTTATTAACAAGCCCAAATCACATTTTTACTTCTCTTTCAAATCCTAAAATTATGCAAATTAAACCTATAAAAATCCATCATTCCAATCTAAGTTTCTAAACAACTAAATGAATCCCACATTTACACAATCATCAACTAAGTAAGGAAAGAAAATATAACGTCTTACAACCATTACAAAAAATAACTTACAAATAAAACAAGCAATTTAAATGAAACTTATGAAATATTACAACCCATCACAAAAATACACATAAAGTCTAAAGATAATATCCTTGCAAAAAATCAGCTGCATCCATTCTTCCAAAAGCCTTAACAAAGCAACCTACATAACACTTAAAAGAATTAACACAAAGTTTCACCATAAACAAATCAGCAGCAGAGATGCTAAACAACTGTGAATGAAAACAAAAATAGGGTTAGGTTATGAACAAAATATAAACAGAGATCAAAGAAATATCAAAAGAAGGTTGTCAAAAAGGCAGTACTTCTACCCAAAATTGTTCAGAATCAATACTCACACAAAGCAGTCTTATGAAAAAGGTTTCAGTTACCCAATATTGAATTCAATCCCAAAGTACAAGCCTTTTGACCAAACCACCGAAAGCCCAAAGCCAATTATTAATTTATGCACCATAAACATAGCACTAGACAAATTAATAGTTTAGAACTATATCCAATATTAACAAGCTGATTTTCAAAATTTGAAGCACTGGTAATGAATTTTTTTACACCCAGCTGTTGACCAAGAACAAAACTCTGCAGAATTTTAGGAACACTTACAAGTGAAATACCAAGTAATGGAAATCAAATAAGAACCACCAAGAAAGTACAACAGACCAAACCTTATCTCTGCAGGGAAGATAGAGAAGAAAGAAAGCAGTTTTCAATGCAATATTATATTGTACTTTGTTTTAGTGAGAGAAAAATGCTAACTACTGGTTTAGATTTAGAATGTCTATTTCTCAGGTTTGGCTCTTTGCACTTCCATGAGGCATACGGGAGTTTTTTGAGTCATTCACATATACAGTACAGTCAAGAACCATGGAAGAGGTTTGGAAAGACATCAATCTTGCCTCTCTCTCTGAGACCACCCCAAACAGGAGATCATCACCATCACTTTAACCCCAAAGTTTCACAAAAAAAATAGAACAGATAAGAGAGAGAGAGAGAGAGAGAGAGAGAGAGAGAGAGAGAGAGAGAGAGAGAGAGAGAGAGAGAGAGAGAGAGAGAGAGAGAGAGAGAGAGAGAGAGAGAGAGAGAGAGAGAGAGAGAGAGAGAGAGAGAGAGAGAGAGAGAGAGAGAGAGAGAGAGAGAGAGAGAGAGAGAGAGAGAGAGAGAGAGAGAGAGAGAGAGAGAGAGAGAGAGAGAGAGAGAGAGAGAGAGAGAGAGAGAGAGAGAGAGAGAGAGAGAGAGAGAGAGAGAGAGAGAGAGAGAGAGAGAGAGAGAGAGAGAGAGAGAGAGAGAGAGAGAGAGAGAGAGAGAGAGAGAGAGAGAGAGAGAGAGAGAGAGAGAGAGAGAGAGAGAGAGAGAGAGAGAGAGAGAGAGAGAGAGAGAGAGAGAGAGAGAGAGAGAGAGAGAGAGAGAGAGAGAGAGAGAGAGAGAGAGAGAGAGAGAGAGAGAGAGAGAGAGAGAGAGAGAGAGAGAGAGAGAGAGAGAGAGAGAGAGAGAGAGAGAGAGAGAGAGAGAGAGAGAAGCTGACCTGCGTGCAGTGATGGAGGCGGCGCGGTGGCTGATCGACTGAGAGTGAGAGGATCGGAGATCTGAGGTGGGTCGAGAGAGAGAGAGGCGCGCCGCAGCCTCTTAGTCTTAGGTCAAAAACAAAACGAAAAATTAAAACAGAAGAGAGAAGAGAAGACTGAGTGAAAGAGAAGTGAGGAGGGTTACTGGAAAAAAAAAAAGGTGAGGGATCTGCTGCAAGCAGTCTCACATGAATATATTTTTGACCAATCACACGACGCCATGTGTAATATATATAGATTTATTTATTTATTTAATTATGTACCGGTTCGGTTCAGGTCCTCCGGTTCTGAAAAAATTAGACCCGAGAGCCGAACCGTGGACCTTCGGTTCGGTTCAGGTCCAAGTTTGACTTTTTCGGTTCAGTCAAAAAATACCCTTTTTCGGTTCGGTTTGGTTCGGTTCGTTCGGTTTGATCGGTTCATCGGTTTTTATGCCCACCCCTATAACTAGCCCATAATCCGGCCTAGTGGAAATGTACAAAGCTACTAGAATTAAAATATAGTAACCTAGGAGTTAGGGTATCAATATCTTGAAACCGACTCCTATCTCTGGCCACCAAAGAATTACAAGGAATGATTTCTTGTCTGACAAATTGAGCACATTATTATATCGTTAGATTCTCGATAATACCGTACTTTCAAAGATAAGTTTATTTGTTCAATTATTATGATTGACAAACGAACAATATAATATATATATTTTTTTAAATGGTATTCCTAACATTACTCTTGTGGTAAAAAAAGATGATTTCCCTAATATTATCCTTATTATTAACATTCTAAAAAATTAATAATGCACTCCGCAAAATGTAATTTCTCAATTATGTTTTTTAGAGTGACTTGAAAATGAGTTGTTAGGGCTCAACGACTTGAATATCACTCCCATTCCTGGTTTCTGAAGAATTAATAGGAATGATCTCTTGTGTCACAAATTTAGCATTGAGCATATTATGTTGCTAGATTCTCGATAAGACCGCACATTCAAACATGAGTCCATTTGTTCAATGATTATGATTGACAAACGAAGCATATAACATTTCACCCAAAAATTACTATTATAAGAGTTGTTATTGACACTCCAAAAAAATACAATTATGTACTTCTCAAACTGTAATTTCTTCCTTATGTTTTTAACAAGGAGGAATGCAAGATTATTTTTTGGAGCGTCAACAATAATAGTTCCTTAAAAATATTTATTATACATATAATTGCTCATTACAATTCTTTAATTATTTTTATTTGATCAAAGTCGGTCCTTGTGTGCAAAAGCCACCCAAGGATTTTTCTTCTGAATTTTTTTATTTATATTTTTTGTATTGTTCTGATCAAACTCTATCAGCAAAGTAATTTAAGTTTTCAGATGCTAGCTACTTGAGTGGTAAATTAATTATCATTGCTATGGGTTTATAGTTCAAGCGGGTAAAAACATTTATCTCTTTCATATCCGAGGTATTGTGAGTTAAAATCAGATTAAGACTCATCTTATATTAAAATATTCAGCAAAATCAACTTCCTTTCACTTCATTCATAACCTTTGTCTTTTCTAAAAAGAGAATCAAATGGGGAAAAGAGACATTATAAAATTGGAGAGAGAGAGAGAGAGACATTAATAAATGACAATTTGCTGACTCCGTACGGAACCTAAAGAATAGAAACGTTGCGACCAAAGCCCCTACCAGCAAATAGCGGCAAAGTAAACAACCGTTTGAACCAAAAAAAAAAAAAAACCTGTAAATAAGAAAGTATTGGTTTGGTTGGCAGAGCTTTATGCTGGCCTTGGCCGGCTGATCTTCACAAGCGGCGGAGATGTCATTTTGCATCTGGACCGACCCACATACTCTTCTTAATTTTAATTGGTACATCTTATATTGTACTTTGCCCAATTCAGAACACGTTGATTGGTTGTGTTTTGTTGGTCCCTTAGTGGTGTGGGGTGTCTTTATATATTCCAAGGCATTTGTACATTTCCTGGCACTCTCTACTCTCACTCCAAACACTGCTAAGTGCTTTCTTTTGGCTCTTGGGCTCAGGGGAGGTTAAAAGGGTAATGAAAGTTTGTGGCTTTCTATGTTGCAGAGCTGGGATTTTGCTTAATTTGCAGACCACAAGCTTTTCTGGGTTGTGATTTAATCACATTCTTGGTTAGTAATTTTCTTTGATTTGAGTATTGTGATTATGTTGATCAGCTGGTTTTTTTTCCTCTTCATTTTCTTTCTGTTGTTTTGTTAATGGTGCCATAATCTGTGTGTTGGTATCTTTCATGGGGATATATTTTCCAGGAAAAGTTAATCATGTTTATAGATAGTGTGATCCTGCAATAAGTTTTATGTCCTTGCAAAGAAAATGAAAGGAAAAAGAAGGCAAATTTTGATATGAAGTACTGTCTGTGCAGGCTCCTTACCGACAACTTGCTAGTGGAGGAGTTGAGGAGGCTAAAGGGAATCCAAAATGGTGGCGGACTCGATTGCCCTCGATGCTATCATCAAGGAAGCTGTTGATCTGGTATGACCAAATGAGCATTGATAGTAGTTTCAAGTTCTACAATTTGACAGCAGAAAGCAGAGAGAAAATAAAATGTTTCATTACTCTACAATTTGATAGTTGGAGCTAAATAGCCCTTGATAAAACTTGGATGTGATTTATGCAGGAGAATGTACCCCTGAAAGAAGTTTTTGACCATCTGAAATGCACAAGAGATGGTTTGAGCTCTGATGAAGTCCAAGAGCGGTTGGATTTATTTGGCTATAATAAACTTGAAGAAAAAAAGGTCAGAAACCAACTGTTATAGCATGATAATCTCTTTATATATATTTATGTGTTCATCCATAAGGATTGTTAAAGATTGTTTTATTTTCTGTTCATCCATAGGAAAGTAAATTCTTGAAGTTTTTGGGCTTTATGTGGAATCCTCTGTCCTGGGTTATGGAAGCTGCAGCTATCATAGCCATTGCTTTCACACAAGGAGGGGTAAGTCTATATTACTTCAGGCCAACTACCATTTGGTCTAATGGTTATTACTTTCCACTATGTTGAAGGAGGTCCTGAGTTCAAATCTCATTGACGGCCATTTCTGAATAAATCAAAAAAATATGACACTAAAATATAAAAAAAAAGTTGGGGGTGATTTTCTTCAGTGCAAGGAATCTACAGTACAGTGATTGTGACATAACCCCTTTTTTTTTTTTTTTTTTTTTTTTTTCCAGTCAAAACCAGCAGATTACCATGATTTTTTTGGCATCCTGGTCCTCCTCATTATCAATTCTACCATCAGTTTTATAGAGGAAAACAATGCAGGAAATGCAGCTGCTGCTCTTATGGCTCGGTTGGCCCCTAAAGCAAAGGTCTTTCTCTTGATGACTTTTGGATAAGCTAGCTTTGCAGTTTGACCTTCCCTTTCTTCTTTTGTTTCTTGTTGAAGCTCTTGCCTACATTAGCCTTACTTGGATTGGTCAATGATTAAAATTGCTCTAGATAGATTGGAATTTCTGAATGATGAAATATCTTGGCATATTGGCATGTAGTAAGAAACTATGAATTAGCATCTTGTTTCTACTTTGTTTTGACCTATGAATGTTTACCAGGTCCTGCGTGATGGAAAATGGGCTGAAGAAGATGCAGCTGTTTTGGTTCCTGGAGACATAATTAGCATCAAACTTGGTGATATCGTTCCTGCTGATGCACGTCTTCTTGAAGGAGATCCTTTAAAGATCGATCAGGTAAATCAATAAAATATGATGTGTGTATATAAGTTCGATGCCGCAGAACAGACCATGTTGAAAAAAATATATCTGTTAATGAGACAGAGTCAACAATCTTCTCTACACGCGTTCCTGTTTCTGTCTTAAGTTTATAAGCTTTTTATAATTAAGGAATATTATTGATATGGTGTAGTATCAGCCTTTCCGGAATTTGAAATTCTCCTTTTCACTTGTAGTCTGCTCTTACTGGAGAATCACTTCCAGTGACCAAAAATCCTGGTGACGGGGTTTACTCGGGATCAACATGCAAGCAGGGAGAGATTGAAGCAGTTGTTATTGCAACTGGAGTTCACACTTTCTTTGGAAAGGCAGCTCATCTTGTGGAAAACACAACGCATGTTGGCCATTTCCAGCAGGTTTTTTATAAGTCATTTTGTGTTGAGTGTTGGGTTTTGAACAACGAGAGTTTTCAAGCACTCGTGAAAAATTTCTCTACATTGTTATAATAACTAATGTCACATGTGCTCACTGATAACAAATGGCAATAATGGTTTCATGGTTGCAGGTTTTAACATCAATTGGAAATTTCTGCATTTGTTCAATTGCTGTGGGGATGGTGATTGAAATCATAGTAATATATGGAATTCATGGGAGGGAATACCGTGTGGGTATTGATAACCTACTTGTCCTCCTAATTGGTGGGATCCCTATTGCTATGCCAACTGTTCTTTCTGTTACAATGGCCATTGGTTCACATCGTTTGTCTCAGCAGGTTTGTGATTGCACAAACTCCACTTCAGAGATTGATTTGGAAGATAAAATTGAAGACATTTAATAGATTTTCCTATTTAAATTCAAAGGTGCATAATAGAAATCCATGTTTTTTGCAGGGTGCCATAACAAAGAGAATGACTGCCATTGAAGAAATGGCTGGAATGGATGTACTATGCAGTGATAAAACAGGGACACTGACACTTAACAAGCTTACAGTGGACAAAAACATGGTTGAGGTATTGCTTGTGGTCCCTTCAACTCACTTTAAAATCAATGGAACAATAAAACATAGTAAATACTTCACCCTTAGGAACATATTTTTGTAAGTTCAGTCACCGGCACACATCACAGGAAGAGGGATGTACCAAAACCAACATATTTTACACACTTAAATTAAGTGATGTCCATTAGACAATTACATATCTTAGGTGATCAGTGAAGATCAAGGTAGCAAATTTTTGCTAATGCATATTAAGAGAACTTTTTCTAATTATTCCTAGATATGAATTGAAAGCTCATGCTTTCTTCTTCTTCTTTTGTCCCTGGTAAATGAAAGATTACACTTTTTCTTATAATGAAAGCCTTTTAATGAAAGATCAATATGTTGCAATTTTCATTTATTTTGATGTTATCCATGTCACGGCAGGTTTTCGCGAAAGGTGTTGACAAGGATCAGGTTATACTTATGGCTGCAAGAGCATCGAGATTAGAGAATCAAGATGCTATTGATACTGCAATTGTTTCAATGTTGGCAGACCCTAAGGAGGTATTGTCCAAATTACTCTTTCTAAATCATTGATTTGAGTCTTATCTTTAGTTTTGGGCTGATTTTTTTTATGTAATTCTTATGTCAACTTTTTAAGGCACGAGCTGGAATCAGAGAAATTCACTTCCTTCCATTCAATCCTACGGATAAAAGAACTGCACTTACATATATTGATGCTGCTGGTAAAATGCACAGGGTCAGCAAGGGTGCACCAGAGCAGGTGAAATACAGATGTCAAAAAATTTCAGCAGTCCTGTAAACCTTAAGATTGCTAACAAAAATTTTGAGCTCTAATCAAATGTATGTTATGCAGATTCTTCATCTGGCACATAACAAATCAGAAATTGAAAAGAAGGTACATACAATGATTGACAAGTTTGCTGAACGTGGACTACGATCCCTTGGTGTTGCCCGTCAGGTAGTTAATGTCATTTGAATTCTTTACTGCCTGGTGGACATGTTTTTTGGTTTAGATTTTTGAGACAGAGATTTCCTCCAGGAAGTACCTGCTGGAACCAAAGATAGTCCTGGTGGCCCTTGGGAATTTGTTGGCCTTCTCCCTCTCTTTGACCCTCCTCGCCATGATAGTGCTGAAACAATCAGAAGAGCTCTGGATCTTGGTGTCAGTGTTAAAATGATCACTGGTACAAACCACTGAGCTTAGAATTTTTTATTTTTACTGGCCTTTTCTTTTTCCTCCATATACAGTTTCACCTTAAGCTATTAGAGATGTAACCTTCATGCATCACCATTTGCAGGGGACCAACTTGCAATTGGTAAGGAAACAGGAAGGAGGCTTGGGATGGGCACAAACATGTATCCCTCTTCAGCTCTGCTTGGTGAAAGTAAGGATGGGGATCTTGCTACCATCCCCATTGATGAACTCATTGAAAAAGCTGACGGTTTTGCTGGCGTCTTTCCTGGTTAGTCTTGTTCTTTTATTATTTAAGCGCTGTGGATTTGATTGTTTTATTCTGTTTCTCATCATATCTTTCTTTCCCTTCAGAGCATAAATATGAGATTGTGAAGAGATTACAAGCTAGAAAACATATCTGTGGAATGACTGGTGATGGAGTGAATGATGCCCCTGCCTTAAAGAAAGCTGACATTGGAATTGCAGTAGCAGATTCCACAGATGCTGCCCGCAGCGCTTCTGATATAGTTTTAACAGAACCTGGATTGAGTGTAATCATTAGTGCTGTGTTAACAAGTCGTGCTATCTTCCAGAGAATGAAAAACTATACGGTAACCTAATGATTTCAAAACATCCATGAACTAGTTAGTAAAATATTTAGTTGTCAAGAACACCTGCTTAGTTTCTTTTTCTTGTTTCCCCTTCCCAGATATATGCTGTGTCGATCACCATACGAATTGTGGTAAGCTTCCTGTTTAAGTTACTATTTTTATATGGAATCTTATAGAATGTTTCTTGCCATCAATCTTATCTCATTTCCAACATAAATGTGTATTACAGCTCGGTTTTATGTTGCTGGCTGTCTTCTGGAAATTCGACTTTCCTCCTTTCATGGTTCTTGTCATTGCTGTTCTTAATGATGGTTAGCTTTTCTAGTTTTACGCTTTTCCATCCATTTAATGAATTTTTGCTCCTGCTCATTACCTAACTTGTTAGCTTGCTGATAGGAACTATCATGACCATATCGAAAGATAGGGTCAAACCGTCTCCATTTCCCGACAGTTGGAAGCTCAGTGAAATTTTTGTAACTGGAATTGCTCTTGGTGGTTACCTGGGTCTAACGACTGTTTTGTTCTTCTGGATATCCTATGAAACCAACTTCTTTCCGGTAAATGGCCTCCCTTTTCTTGTCATGTTGTGAAGAATTTCATAAAACTTCGAACTTTTGTGGTTGGCTAACAAAATTCAGGGTGCCCTTTTATATTTTATACATAGCAGACATGACTGTTTTCTTCCCAAGTGTTTTTGTTCCAAAAGAAGTTTTGTCTTTTGTTGTTTAAATTAGGGTTGTATTCTACTGATATGGTCATTGCAAAGTCTATTGTATGTTCACTTAAAGAATAGATGAAATCATGGATAGATTTTCATTACTTTCTTGACTTTGGACACTGACCTTTCTTCTTGCAGGAAAAATTTGGTGTGAGAGACTTCAATCAACACCATTTTAATATGACAAATAAGACAGTTGCTGCTAAACTAAACGACCAGATGTCGTCTGCTCTGTATCTTCAAATCAGCACCATCAGCCAGGCCTTGATATTTGTCACTCGCTCCCGGGGTTGGTCTTTCACCGAAAGACCTGGCTTTTTGCTTGTTATTGCTTTCATCGTTGCTCAACTGGTAATGAATTTATAATTTGGTTACATGAAACATACTTTCTGCCAAATATAGGATAGATATGGTTTCTGAAACAGACTATCAAAACTAGTTTAATTAATACAAAAGAGGACCTATTTGGGTCAACTGAAAACCGTTCTAAAATCCACCCCCTCATTTTTCTTTCCTTTTCTTGAAGTGGATATTTTCTGATTTATTGTCTATAGTTTGATAAAATAATTCTAGTTTATATGAGATGTCTGATCTCCAGACACATCCTGAGATTTTAGATAAATTCTGGAGGGAAAAGCTTCATGCATTGTACACCAATTACCTCTGCCCTCTTAATGTCTCAAATTCAGTTTATTAACAGTTCCTACCTTGATATTACCCTTTTACTTCCAATGTTTCGAAATATTTTTAACGGCGAATAATTTTTTGCAGATTGCAACTGTAATATCTGCCACTGCAACCTGGAAATTTACTAACATCAGAAGTATTGGTTGGGGATGGACTGGTATAATTTGGTTGTACAATATTATCATTTACATGCTCCTTGATCCCATCAAATTTGCTGTCCGTTATGCTCTCAGTGGACAGGCATGGGGTTTGGTAGTAGATCAAAGAGTGAGTACCTGACTTCACCTTGATTGCTTAAGATTGTGAACAAACTTCTCATAAAATATGCAACGGTGATGAACGAAACTATTGTATACCTTTAATCATCATGAATTCCTTAGTTAAGACTGATTTGGTATGCTTTTATCCATCTTACCAGACCGCATTTACCAGCAAAAACGACTTTGGAAAGGAAGCTCGTGAGGCTGCATGGGCAACTGAACAGCGAACACTACATGGACTCCAATCTGTTGACAGAAAAATGTTCTCGGAGAGGAACACTTTTAGGGACATTAATCTCATGGCAGAGGAAGCTAAAAGGCGGGCAGAGATTGCAAGGTAAAGCTTACAATGGTAGAGATAATAGCTGAGTTAAATGCCGAGATATAATGAGAATTCATTTGCCTATTTGCTTATCCTTCTTTTTCTTACTTTGGTTTTTGATATTGCAGGTTGAGGGAGCTTCACACTCTCAAGGGCAAGGTTGAGTCATTTGCCAAGCTGAAGGGTATAGATATCGACGCCATTAACCAACACTACACTGTCTAACTGCTGTGATCTGGATAGTGATCCCATTCACATTCTCCTTTATACATAAACGTTCTTTCTGTATTCATTAACAAATACCAAGTCCAAGCTGGATTTTGAATAAGATTGATGTATTTCATGATGATATCTATTTAACAAGTCAAATGGAAATGCAGTTATTTAAAACATGTGTCGATATGGAGACATTCTCGTTGTCGCTTTTTCTTGCAAGAACACCAGACACCACTGGAAACAAGTTTGTGCACTTCTTTGTCTCTCATTCATTTTAGAGCTCATGATGATTGACACAGAAGAAGTGCAGATATCAAACCACACCAGAGCTGCAATGTTCTGTGTAAACAAAACTTCCTTAACATTAAAATCCAAAATTAAATGAATTGTAAACTTTGTATTTTGGATTGATTTGATAAGTATGATACATGAGAGATTTATACAGAGTTGAAAACCCTAGTAGAAAAAAGAAGTAATAAATCCAATCAATATAAAATCATATGCAAAACCTTAACAGTAGAACAAATAAACCAGAAGATCAAACACACGAACAAATACAAACAACGGTAAAAGCACATACAAAAGTTTTTTTTTTCCATTGCATAAAGGTGCCACACCAACATCAACATAAATGCAAACTAACATAACCGCTGTCATGCATCCATCAATCCAGCACACACTACACTACAGACTCAACAAAGGATAGAAGGAGAAGGAAAGAACCACACAACACAGAGAAAAACAGAAGATGCAAAGCCTAATTAGTAAACTCAATTTATGCCTCCGCAACTCTCCCTTTTGGTTATCATTAATCTGATCATTCCAACACTCTTCAGAAACATCTCCTGCCTCCTTGTGATTGCAACGTCCGCAATAACCACTCCCACGACCAACCCGCTTCCCAATCCCGCCAAAATAAATTTCCAATCAAATTCAAATGCTCCAGCTGAGCCTGAATCATTTTCTTCCACGCTTGAAGGTGGCAGTTGAGGGGCCTTAGCAACTCCGCATTTGTTTGGCAATATATCTCCACACAATCCAGGGTTTCCCTCATATGAAGTGCTATTGAATGTAGTAAGTTGCCTTCCTTGTGGTATTGGACCTGTAAGGTTGTTGTGAGAGACATCAAATTCTCCAAGGAAGGTAAGCTGCGCCAGTTGTGGAGGGATCTCTCCTGAGAAGTTGTTGTGTGAGAGGTCCAATGATTCAAGCTGTGTTAAGTTCCCTAATGATGATGGGATGGAACCAGTGAGAATGTTGTTGGACATATTGAGTGAGCGAAGGCCCTTTAGTTCTCCAATAAATTCAGGAATCCTTCCCTCAAATTTGTTGCTGGAGAGATCAATGGCCGTAAAGTCTTCTTGAATTTTTGCAAAGTATCTCTCCACACCTTTAATTGTTGCTGTTATTGAGTACTCGACATCAATACGAGTTGTGAAATCGATACGAGTTGCGAAGTCCATACGAGTGGCGAAAGAAATGTCAATAGTTATCTCTGCCTTCAAATATGTGGACTGGTTCAGAGTGATGCCTCTCATGGCATTCCCAGAGAAAATGTATTCAAGTGGAAACTCACCTGTGAAATTATTGTAAGACAGATCAAGAAAGCGCAACTCAGGGAAACTAAGATTCTTTTCAGGCTTCCCTATCACATCATACAACTCATTATGGTCCATCGCCACAAGTTTTAACTTTGGGAGAGTCCCAAACCACAACGGGAAAACATCATTGAATTTATTGCTTGACAGAACCATAAACTCAAGCATCACACAATTCGCCAATGACCTCGGTAGGTGCCCTTGCAATTGGTTATGACTAACATCAATCATTTTCAGAATGCTTCTGTTAGCCGTTGTGTATGTTTGAGGAAGAAAGCCATGAAAAGAGTTGTTTCTGAGATTTAAAACTTGCAGACCATCACTAAAGTTTCCAAGACACTGCGGAAGCATGCCACTCAATCTGTTATTCGACAAATCAAGAAACCGAAGTTGACTCAAACTGCAAATCAATGGTGAAACTTGTCCAGTTAAATTGTTGTTTGACATTTGATAGTATAGGAGGTTTGGCGGAGGTATAGGTAGTTGTCCGAGTAGCATGTTGGATGACATGTCGATGTACTTCAAAGTTTCTGTGCTTGTGTTCCACATCCATTGCGGTACTTGGCCATGCATTTTGTTTTCAGCAAGTCTCAACCACTGCAAGTTTACTTGATATCTCAGGAAATCTGGGAACTCTCTTATGTTGCATGAACCCAATCCTAGAATCCTGAACTGTTGAATAGGTGCATTCACAGTTCCGGATTCAATGAGCAAGTCTAAATTGTTATCACCTAGACGGAGTGCCGTGAGATTTTGTAGCTTAAGAAACATGTGAAACTCAACCGGACCGCTGAGTCTATTGTGATCTAGAAAAAGGTCCTGGAGATTACTTTGATTTGATAATGACTTGGGAATGGAACTATTTAATTGATTTCTACCAAGATCTAGATGAGTTAGTGTAGTAAGGTTACCTAGCCAAGGTGGGATTGGACCAGTGAATTGATTCTGATGAAGCGAAAGCCAAGTGAGCTGGGTAAGGTTTGCCAAAGAATCAGGAATGGGACCTCCAAATTTGTTTTCAGAAATGTCTAGATAAGTGAGCTGCCTAAGATTACCAAGTGAAGCTGGAACCAACCCTTCGGAAAAATTACATGCAGGCGCATCCAACTCTTGCAACAAATCAAGCTTTGCGATTGAACGCAAGTTTCCGAAAATCCTAGTGTACCCAAGTTTCAGTGACATGAGAAGACTACTTCGATTAAATTCAGGCATAAAACCAGTAAGATCCAGGTTGTATCCCACATTCAGACGTTGTAAGTTTGGTAATTTGAAAATTCTTACTGGGAATTCACCAAACAGCTCACAGTCCAAGAGGGCCAGGGATGTCAAAAATGATAAATTTGCCATGGAATTGGGCACTGTCGAAGATATACTAATGTAACTGAGATCAAGCTTTTCTAGACTGGTTAAGTTTTGAACTAGACTTCCAAAATTGGATGCGTTAAGCAACAATCCATTACCGGAAACTATATCAAGATTGAAAGATAGATCAAGGGATGACAACTTGGACAACTGTGAAACTTCCGATGGAACTTGACCAGAAAATGCAGAGGCAGAGAAGTTGAGATAAGTGAGCCTCGGAAAATTCCTAATGTTGGTAGGAATTTGAGAGTAATTGAAGTGATTATCAGCAAGGTTCAGTCTCTGAAGATGGACAAGGCGGAAGAGGCTGCTGTTGGAGTGGATAGATCCATAGAGACAACTGCTACTAAGATCAAGGCCAATCACGTGACCCGTCTGCACATCACAATCCACGCCGTCCCACGAGCAGCAGTTGCTAGTTTCTCCATCAGCTAGTTTCCATGATGAAACTTTCGTATAGGCACCCTCATAAACGGAAGCAGATAAGTTAACAATAAAGCTTTGCTTGAACTCCAGCAAGGCAGAGCTCTCCTCATCATGGCATGATGGCTGCTGTAAAGAGTACAAAGAGTTTGCAATAACCACAAGATTAGACAAGAGAAATAGTTTGTAAAGCATGTAACTGGACATATCAAATAAGCACTGGGATAACCCCATACTAGAATCTGTTTTCATAATTCTGTTTTCAACTCTTAAAGCATATGTGGAAGTTGATAGAGCTATATACATAGACTGGTTTGAACTCGAATTCCTGAGCAATAATACTCACAAGATTAATTTTCAAACAAGATGGAAGGGCATGCAGGAAACTTGACTTCAAGTAAACAATAATTTAATCTGCATGAAGTCAAGTCGTCCAACTACTATATGAAATATGGATCAGAAGTTAAAGAGATATTGTTAAAGTCAAAAACGTAGGTTTCGATCAATAAGACATGCAATCAAATAAGACTATCTGTACAACTAAGCCTATCTAAAATTACATATAGGTACTACCTGTTCACTTTTTGGCTACAAATTGAACCAAAAGGTCCGCATTTATAAAGGAGCAGGGATGACAATAGTGAAAGTAAGGCTGGCATGGACTGATCAATTCTTGATCAAATTGTTAATTATTTATATTATCACATAAGATTAAAAAAAAACAAGATGGGGATCAGGGAATAACAATGCATGCATTTGCAATAATTGTATAAAAGAAACATGTAATAGGAACCCCGGAAATCGGTTGGTGGCGATGGGTGACCAGTCAGCCAGCCATGTTCGTGAAGTTGTCCCTCTCTGTCCAAAGCAAACCAGTCGAGTCTGCGTGAGTTAAGTTTTCTATTTCTAGTTTTGAGTTCTATTTGGGTATATGTTTTTGGGATTTTTTGTTTTATTAGGCTTGGATAACTTGTGCTAGTAGAAGCTTGTACTCACCCCATTGATTCAAACACATCCAAATGCAGTTAATCTAAAAGTGACAAAGGCCATGGAAATATTTTTTTTAAAAAAATAACAAAGTAAAAAGCAAATCGTCATACACATCACCACAATTGAAGCATATGATAGATTGAATTTAGACATTAGAGGAACAATATAGCTGGAGAGTTTTAAGACATGCAAAACAATGAGAAATAGCGAACTAATGCAGTCACTGTGCATTTATGCATTTATGCATCCATTCATCCAATCTAGAATCCACAGAAGAAGACACAGAGCAGGAGACAGCCTATATATGAAAACGAAAAGTGCATTAGCAAATGCATTATGGATTGCCCCTTTGGACAAACTGATCAACTGGGACAACATATGTGTGCTACGTGGACAAAGAATTATCAACAGCATTGACATTTCTTTTGTCGAAAATTTAGAGTCTAACTCTAAATTGAAACCTTACGTACCCGACCACATTTATGTGATTTCCGGTCAGGTCTTAACTCTCACCAATTCCCAAAGTTATGTGATTTTTGTTGATGGCATAACAGTTTATTTATTTATTTTATTATTATTATTATTTAAATAAAAACCTCCATGGTATGAGGAGAAATTTATTAAAAAGAATAAGTAAACAATGGGGGGGATAACTGACCAAACCCCACAACAAAGCCAACCCCAAGGATGGGATCAAACTAGACACACAAGATCAACGAAAGCGAAACATGAGAAAACCCACAAAATCTTTAGCATAAGCGGTAGCAGCCCACGAAAGTAAGGAGTCCCACCAGTAATAGGCACCGTTATCAGCACCAAAATTTGCTAATATATTTGTGACACAATTACCTTCCCGATAAATATGAGTGCAAACAAAATTTATCTTCTTAATGTGCCAAAAACAGTTCTTCCACTCCATATGCAAAAACAAGGGAATGGAATAAGAGGTAGAGGAGAAAAAATGACCTACCAAAGAAGAATCAGTTTCGAGCCAAAGATGCTTCCAATCTCTCACCCAAGCAACTCTGATAGCCTCAAGAAAAGCAAGACCTTTAGCCGCAGTTGAGCTAGGCCAGTCTTGATTAGAAGCAAAAGCACCAAGAACCTTGCCCTCACTATTTCAGAAAACACCCCGAAAACCTGAGCCTGAAGCTTTACAAGAACCATCAATGTTGACTTTAACCCAACCAGTAGGGGGAGGAGACCACATCACACAAGGTTTGTCTACTAGGAGAATCTCTCCTAATTATACAAGGAAATAGATACATTAATTAAATAGGAGAATCTCTCCTAATTATACAAGGATTGTCTACTATATGAAAAAAGGAAATAAATCACCTAATTAACTTAGGAAATAAATCTCCTTAATTTGTTAGGCCTCCTACCCTTTTCTGTGTTTGATTTTGTATTGTCAATTACAATGCTATGTTCTTGTCCTCTAAGGTGGTATTTATTAGGTGTACTGTGTTCGGAAAGATGTGTTTTCACTTCAAAATTATGTATGCATGGTGTGGGAGTGATTTTCCTCCCTAGAGAATATTCGTCTCAAGATCCCTTCTTCCTCTTAACTCCTCTTTCTCCCTAGAGAATGGTCTTTTACTCACGAGGAGAACCGGGTGGCCGGAGCCTTGTGTGAGAGAGGGAGAAAGTGGCAGCTCAGCGGCGGACCCAGAAAATTTTCAAGGAAAGGGCAATATTTCAAAGCCTAAAAGCTTAACGAAAAAAACAACCAAATACCCTGATAATTTAAACGATATTTAAAAAGGCTAAAAACACTATATTAATCACATTAACCAATTCACCATGTTAATTATATACAAATAAACACCACATTGAAATATTAACCAATTCACCATATTAATCATTTAATCAAACCACAACAATCTTTATTAATTAATTAAAAACTCAAAATATAGAGAAATAAATAAATTCAAAAAAATCTATACAAAATAGCCAAAACAAAAACTCAATCAATTAACCAAAACCCAACAATCCATCTTAATTAATCAAAGCATAAAGAGAAATAACTTTGAAATTTGAGAGAGAAATTAATTTTCCAGACAAATTGTGGAGGGTTGGTCCATTGGTGGATGGCTTATCTCTTCTGGTTTTGGAGCTGCCATGGCTTATGCCCACTTCACAACCCTTCTTTTGCCTCT